AATTACAAAAAATTGTCTGTGTGTAAACAAAGACAATGAGCAGATTGGGTTAAGTTAATTGAATATGGAAAACACGTGAAAGCTATCTGCCTGGGAAAAAGGCTTTATTTGTAGATATTATTAAGGAAATTGGCTCATTTACGGAAAATCGCAAAAATCAAGGATACAGCCAGCCCATTCAGCTGAGTGGTTTCACCACTCAACATTGGGATCAAGACAATGAGCAAAGAAGTGGGCATATTTTTTTTTTTTTTTTTAAATTTATTGCTGCTGAAAATATGCAGGCCGTTCTTGACCCTAACATAAGGAAGCCCCAAGGGAGTATTTTTCAATTGAAAAAGATTGACAGACAGCAGACTGCACTCTAAAAGTTCCTCGCCAACTAATCATGTGTAGAATTCTATTCAGTTGTGTTACACTTTAATTATTTCATAAATAGCTTCTTTGGAAGTTGAACACTTATTTTAAATACGTAATATTTTTAGGCCTACATTTGTATTTAGTTGTATATTGTCTTTAACTTTTCATATTAGTTAAATGTCTTATTCTTTTGTGCTTAAGTTTTTGCATAAATTTCATTGCTGTTTGTTTTATATTGTTTTTTGGGGGGTCTTAATTTTCCCCCTTTTTCTATACTATTATTATAAATATGTTCAAAGATTGTGTTGGGGAAATTAATCATCATTAAATACATACTGCGATGATAATGCAATAATTGCCAAATTGTTGTACATCTTACTCAGGGAAATTATTTCCCCTTGAAAAATCAATTTTCCTTTGGGAAATTAACAATTATTTTTTACATTTTGTTTCTATTGTAAATTTTTTTTAACATTTCTATTTTGTTTGTATAATTTTATAATGTTCAGGTATAGATCAGGTGTATTATGTTCAGGTACATATGTTCACGTAAACTTTAATAGCATTTTTAATGGCCTCTATTCATCTGTTCATTTTGACTTTTATATTTCTCACTTCTAAATTAGTTGAGTTGCATATTAATTTAAATTACTTTAGTTAAGTTACAATAATATTGAAATACTGTTTCCTAGGAGGTAATAATTAAATTCTAATATTAAATATAAATAAGCTATCACTATTCTTCATCATGTGTGATTAAAAATAAAATCGTTGGTCTCTTAACAGTGTATAAATTCTAAATTAAAATTGTCATTGAGAATCTAAGAGAACTAGATGCTATAATTTTTATGTATGCCATTTCTAGGTTATCACTTCTGTTGCTTCTTAAAATAGTATTAATATCCCATTACTATTCCTGGTGCCACAATTCCATGTTGAATTCTTTATAACCGAAAATGTTGATTGGTTGAAAAATTAATTTGGGTTTTTATGCATTTGACTAAAACTGTAAATAAGAAAAAAAAAGGTTTTTTTACACATGTATTTTATTTTATATTTTTTTCTTTTGTAAAATGGAGGACAAATTTTAAAACAGAAAAGAAAAATCACTGCCTTAAAAAAAATGTAGCAAGAAAAAAATGAGAACAGAAAGAAATAATAAAAAAGAAAAACTGAAAGGTTTCAGACTTTAAATTACGCCCAAAGGGGCATTTTTTTAACATTTTGTGTGTCATCTTTATTCATTAAATATCATGTTCTTCGCATTTAAACCATAAAATTTAGTTCAAGAGCAATATCGCAAAATAATTTTAAATTCAGCATTTCTTTAGAATTTCTGATACACAGTCTCACACGCTGGAGATAATAATGTTTCCCCCCCCCCGTGCAACATTGCCACTGCTCACTTTGAAATCGTTGTGTTTGTTAATCAAAAATTCGTTAAAGTTTTACAAAATAGGAAATCGATAATAAATTCAAAATTTCGGCTTCCAGATGCCTATATTCACAAAAGGATTATGTTGTTCAAAATTAGATGGCTCTAGGGAACATTGTGTTATCACAATGCGAGAAACATACATACATTTATGGAGATCCTTCATTATTTAATTTCTTCAAATGTAATACAGGGTTATAATATTTAGCGGCAACAATTTGAAAAGTGAAACGGACATTCAGAGTGATTCAACGCAAAATCGCAAAACGAAAATAATAGTCCCTCAGGGACAGAGTCCCTTTGGACAAATGAACAATGGGAAATCGATCTTTGGATAGTAAGAGGGAGGGAGGAGGCAGAAAATAATTTTATATATATAAGAAAATCTACTTTTGAAATAATATTTATATAGTCACTGGGTGCCAGAACCCATTTCATCAATAAATTACAACATATGAACCATTATAACATACAAATTACAACATAAGAAAAATTATTAAATTAATAACCAAATTATTTATCTGCATTGAAGAAGAAACAAATGATGTATCAATTAACCAGCAACCTGCAAAAAAAATTATTAACCACTAAAAAATGATTGTATGCTTAATGCAAACTTTAAAATGAAATGCTAGAAAATGTATATATAAATTTATTAGATTCCAAAAGAATTTTAAAATAATTTATTATTATTATTATTGTTTACTCTTTGTGTATCTACACAAAAATGTACTTGTATCAGTCGAAACAACGGAATCAGACTAAACAATATTGTATGGAATAGCTACCTAAACATGTAAAAACTTGTCTCTGCTGATAGCATCGCCTGTCTATTCTAGAAACTTCAGAAACTCTGTACATTTTTTAATTATGATGGTCATTGTTTACCCTTGGTGTATTACGAAGTAGGGCGAAACACATAAGGGTGGTATGCCATCTATTTTTTATTATTTTTATGCACAATTTTTGTAAAACGATGCTGACAATTAATAAACAGAATTGAATAAATATAATTTCTTCCCTTTATTAAGCTTTATTAAGTAATATTTTTTTATTATTACTAACTTAGATTTATTAAAAGCAGTTTTATTAATTAGTGCAAAATTTTTAATATTTTTATTAGTTTCAGCTATGGCATTCACAGCTAACATCATAAACGCCTAAATTCAACAATAAATACTTTTATCGTTTACATCAATGCTGTTATGTCACAAGGTAACTCTATTCAAGTTTATTAGTGGCTGAGTTAATGAGATAGCTAAAGACTAAATAATAGTTGACCTTCAGTGAATGAGCTTAGATGTTTTCCTATGAATATGAAGCAGTTTCCCTTCAAAAGTCGTCATCCAAAAAGGCATTTCTTCCTTTAGGCAGGTAGCTATAGTGTGCCTTCTCATCCAATTCTAACTATATTCAGTATTAATATGAATGGCATTTCAGTCCTCATATGAACATTCAATTAAAATGACAGCAATCATATTTCATCTCAGTTCTCACACTGGGAAATTGTTATTAAGTATTGAAAAATATGTTGCAGTCCTTTCCTCAAAGGAATAAAAGCACCAAGTCCAAAAAGTTGTTATGTACAGAATGGAAATTCTCTGATCTTGGCTTTCTAGGCTTATGTTCTCTGTAGTGATATGAAATCATGGATAGGATCATGCTTTCCACAAATTTAAAAAAAAAGGGGAGTAAAGTCACGAATGGCTTATTAAATCAGTCGTGACTTCTTGCATTGTACCATACTATTTAGATAACTGTGCTAATTCTAGAAGTAATATATGCAGCAGAGCTCCAAGAACTTTCTTAGACCAAAATCAGTAAGACTTTACATCCTTATTATGTGGTGACCAGGGCTGGATTAAGACGTTAGAGGTCCTAAGCACTTAAAAAGATTCTGGTGCCCCTTATCCTTTATGCCCTAAGCATGAGCTTATTATTGCTCAGTGATTAAGGCAGCCCTGGTGGCGGCTGTGTATAACTTTGGGCTAACCTCAGTGATATATCTTTCAAGTGTTGATCAACTGTCGATGGTAGATAAGTGCCTTATTCATTCTAGAACCCCGTTCGTAAAATTTTTCATCTGTAAAATAAAAGAAGTTGAAGAAATCCGTTCTTGGGTCCTATGAAATTGAATGTTCAGAATTATTTTAACAGTAAATACATTGGATTTTAAAGTAAAATATTAACAAATAATACAAATATTTTAATAAAAATGCCAGTTAGTGAACTTAAAAGTTATAAAAACCTGTATTTAACTTAAAAATAAATTATGATAGTGTGTGTGGAAGCTGGAAGAAGAAGAGAGTTTATTGTCATCTTCTCTGTAATATCAAGTAACTGTATTTCTGGTAACTACATTCTTTGCCTTCTCATCCCTTTTCTAAGGAACCAATTATACGAGGGATGTTTCCTAGAAAACTTCATTTAATTGAATACACTTATCAAAATGAAAAATTTAATTTTTTTAAGCATCCTCAAAGAACTTTTTCGGTGTCTCCTCAATCCACTTATTTATGATATGGTTAAACTCTCAAATCGAACATCCCTTAAAGGTTTATCAAATGTGGGAACAGACTACTATTTGCAGACGTTGAACTGTTTCTGAAGTTTTCACATCTTCTTTTTACAAAAAGAAAAGGATTGCTGTTTGCTACTTCCATGTTTACAAAAATAGTGCTGCAAAAATGTACTTGTATCAGTCGAAACAATGGAATCAGACTAAACAATATTGCATGGAATAGCTACCCAAACATGTAAAAACTTGTCTCTGCTGATAGCGTTGCCTGTCTATTCTAGAAACTTCAGAAGCACTGTACATTTTTTAATTATGGTGGTCATTTTCTGAGAACCCACATTGCAAAGTGTTCTGATGTTGGCAAAATTTTCTAAAGCATTCAGTGATCAAATTATTGAACAAGTTATCACTTTTGTTAACAAAGATTTTATTAAAAGAAACCTGAGTGACTGCTTGAATTTTTGATAGTGGGAAAGGTTTCAGCATCTTCTTCCCAATAAGAAATTCCAACTGAACTTTTTGTAACCGGTGTATGTATTATATTGGTATATTGCATCTAGGTTAGAATAGAAGGAGGGAAGGCTCAACTCTATTCTATTTGCTGTTCTTTGAAGAACCTTGAGAGTTGTGTGTAGTGATGGGTGTAGAACCGAGGTTCTCTGCTACAGAAGTATAAACTGCACCAAATTGAAAAATTAAACATAAAATTTAATCAGTATTTTTCTATCCTTAAGATTTAACAACATAGATGAACATACTTGTCAGACTGTGACACATTAATGAACTTATACGATGGAAAACGTACAAAATGTGCTACATTGGTACAATGTTATATGATCCTGCTTAACAGTCCTTTTCATATAGGCAGGTATTAGGCGATGTAGAACGATAAACCAGACGGCTTGAGTAGATTCTCATTTCCACTGCACTGTTCCTTATTAGGACCAAAGAATCTAAAGGGGAACATAGTAAGTTGTTGATCAGTACAATATGTAAGAGGTTAATTTTTTTTAAATTTTTGAAATATATAAACTTGAACTTAACGCATACCTGTTTCACCAAATTTTGTTGGTTTAGCACTCGAATGCAAAAATGCTTCTTAGTTGTTGAATATGCATGGTCTTCAAAATGGGCGGAACAAAGACGACTTCAGTATAAAACAGTGGGTGACTTCTTTAATATTTCCTTGTCGGGCCCAATCAAGTAATTTCTATATGCTTCAAGCCATTGTGCTGATTTATAAAAGTTAAATCAAATGAAATTTACAGCTATTTTACTCAGGGAAGACTAGTTTTAAACATTTATTTAAAATGTAACTTATAATATTACTGTGCAAAACAAATACATATTTTAATTTTTCCAGAAATTTGACATGTACACAACATTTAAGTACTAATTTATGTACAAAAAATTTAATATTTATGCATTTTACTCAAACTAATGTTACATTTTTAAGCATCCTGCTTATGAAAAAATTCATTTTAGCTGATGCATATATTCAACTAATGCTTCTACGATTTTGTAATATTTACATAAATATTTAATTATTATCGTATATATAATTAGGCTAAACAGATAAGGAAACATTAATCAAATAACATAATTTGAATAATTTCTCTGATTTAAATTTCACTTAATTTAAAACGATAATAAAAAAAATCATTAGTACAAACTGGATTTAAAAATAAATTTATTTCAGCTATTTTGAACCAGGGATAGTACAAAATCATTGAACAATGTTATTGCATACAACACAATCAAGGATTAAATATTTTGGATTGCCTAAGATTTATTACCCTCTACTTTCAAGTCTTAAAAATAAAAATATTGAGCAGAATTGAGAAAAAAGACATGAAAGTCATTAAGGAAATTAATTTAAAAGGAAGTCATCATGACATTGAGAATGTTTACAGACGAAAAGTAAACTTTTAGGAATGTAAATGTTTGGAGAGTGTATGTGATTATGGCAAAACCTAGATAGACAGATATTCTTGATAGTTATCTTTCCTAAGTTTTTCTGGGTTTTTATAATTTCTTTAAAACTTAAAATACAAAACAAAAGATACACACAAAAGCACATAAGAAAGAGTTAAAGATTCAAAGGCTCCTAGGTCCCACGGTAATTTTATTTCAATGTAGCAATGTAATGTAAATGCGTAGGAAATATCCTCAATCAGAATTTAATAATCATTTACTATGTACTTCTGAAGGTGACTTATATTTCTGAAATTATAAACCAAACTGGTGTTGACACCTCTAGATGACCACTTTCACAGATGTCCAAAATCATGCAGCACTGTGGTTGGTTATCTTACAGAGGCTTCACTGTATTTTAGCTTTGTTTCTTTAATTTCAATAAAACAATATGTGAATTACAGTGAATATCACACAAAGTATGTTAATGAATATAACGTTTTCATTTGAAAAGGAATAATTTTTCTAATAACAGAAAGTTAAAAAAAATTTCTGCATCTGTCATACTGTATTTATTTTCACGCATTTTAAACACTTAAAATAAAAATTTTTACCTCTCTGGATCTTTAGGAAATCGAAAGAATTTTCTTTCAGGAAAATACCAAGAATTGGCATTACACACCACACAACGCACATAAGCCTTTGGTGAAGGATCATTTAACCTAAATGAATTATTATTATTATAAAGATTTAAATCACATCAGTACAGAATATATAAAAATTGAACACAAAAATAAAATATCGATATTTAATAATTAATTTACAGAATATATTTAAGTTGCAAGATTGAAATAAAATAAAGAACCAATGAATATCATAATACCAGAATTATGCAGCTAATTTACTTTAATAATTTTATTTTTAAAACTGGAAAAATTATTAAAAAATTAATTTAAAAATAATTAAAAATTGGGATAATATTGCAGTTCTTAGTAGCAAAAAAATGATATCTGTGAATAGTTTATTATAAATAATGCTCAATGTATAGAATTAGAAAATATCATGAACTGAAAAATTGATACCTGGTTAAACGAAAATAGAAGAAGTTGCAATATTCATTACATATAACTGCAGGAAAGATCGGATATGAAGAACTGAAATAATTTTCATTAGCAATCATAGTAAATCATCCATGATTGCTTGATTTTATCCTCGCAATTATATACAAATATACTAATTTTGCGTAAGAAGCTTTGATAGAGATTTTTCAAAATACTTCTGATTTCTTTAACAGTATGAATTATAATTTTTAATAAAATGTTCCAATAAAACTTTTAACTTTTTTAATGCCAACTTAATTAATAATCGTTCATTACATATGATATTTGATTACCATCCCGTGTTAAGGAAGGGATTTGAACATAACTCTGGTAATTTAAAAATAATTCTAACATGAAAAGGTATATCTTTCATACGCAGGATCACTATAGCGTGATTCATTATTTTTTTCCATTTTCAAATGTTCTAAATTGCTGAAATCCTCGTGCTTAGCGTTCAATATGGCGCGCTATGACGACTTCTATGATGTTGTTGACAACCAAGGTCCCAACAGGCGTCTCAAGACGAGAAGAGGAAAATGCTTATCTTCACTGTCATTGGCTGTATACCACGTGACACTCCCGAAACATTTCAGATCTGTAAGAGATTCTTGGTTTTAGGCGCTATTTCTGGTTTTCCGCCAACTGCAATGTGTTTCTCGCCAATTGTTAGCGGTTTGTTTAAATCAAGGAGCTTACACTTCGCTTAAATATCGCTTACTTTCGTTTATTATCCGAAATGGACATATTTAAATGTAAATCTTGCAGTGCGTCTTTCTATGCGAAAAGATATTTGAAAGCGCATGAGAAACACAAAGAATACACGAATTTAAATAATAAAAGTTGCACCATTTTCGTGTACGTATTGTACGAAGCAATTTTGTACAAGAAATTCTTTAGGTAAACATAGAATACGTATCCATAATGTAAGGCGAAATAATATTAAATGCGGCGAAGAAGAATGCCGGGAACTATTTCCCACCACAGGATATTTTAGATCTCACTTAGGGACTTTCCATAATTACAGCAATATGACCAAATGTATAAAACTGGAGTTTAAAAAAAATGCAAGGTACCCAATGAACTTTTTCTTATTTTGTTTTCCTAGTTCAATTATAAATAAGCAAAATATATATGGCTTCGTATGGCCACTTCTATATTTTGTATATAATTGAACCCTTAATCTTTTTATATTCAAATTAAATAGTTTAATGAATACAGGTGTTATTCATTAAAGCTACTTTCAGCACACTAATGCATTTATTTGGAAAAAAACACCATATATATGGTATTATTAATTTAAGCTGTTTCAATTCAACACACAAATATACATTTATTTGAAAAAATTAGCATGAATTAATTACTATGAAACATATAATTTCAGAACACTATAGTTTTAACAATTAAGATTATTTTTGTTGTGTGGGTGGGTGGGTGCAATCTGCATATTTTTATTTACTAATCTGAATGCCCTTATATGAAAAATTTATACATTTGTTTATTTATCAGACTTTTATTCATGACTATCAGATGAAGAAAGAAAAACAAAGACTCATTTTGTGGTAGATTCATCTGGGCAGAAACATAAAAAAAATTACACCAGGACGCTGTTTTGCTGTAATAGAAGTGGGACATACAAAGCAAAAGGCAAAGGTGAAGAGACAGCTAAAAGCACAAGGGACTTCCAAAACAGGTTTCTCTTGCACAGCTACTGTCATACTAAAAGATTTTGGCAATCGTTTTGAAGCTGTATATTTTAAAGAACATTACAAGCATGAAAAATCCCTTTGTCATCTCCCTATTCCTAAACAAGAAAAGCAAAGTATAGCAGGCAAGTTATGTGTTAGACCGTATTTTGATTGTATTAATTTCTCTTAAATAAAACTATAATTACTTATGCAGTTGGAGCTTTTCTAGCTGTCATTAATATACAGGTGGTTCAAAATTCCAAAAGTGAATGAATTTTAATACTAATGAAGTTGATAACGAAAATCATTAATGAAAAATTCAGATTGGGAGAGAAACACGCGAGTGTGAAATTTAAAATTAGGCTTAACAGCAGACATAATCAAAATAGCAGACTAAAAATAAAAATTTCAGGGATTTTGTGGAAACTGTATTTTAGAGTCAAATATTAGAAATTCAGGTGCAGTTATCATAAAATTAATTAGCTGCATTAAATGTAAGTAAAAATAAATATTAGAAGTAAAATATACAAAACAGATACTAGTAAATAATACTAGCTATCCTTTATTATAAAGGCATAAATATAATTTACAATTTAGTCCAACCTAGTTACAAAACTTAAAAGATTTTAGGCATTTTTTTCTAAATTGTTGATGTTTCGAATTCTTTTAGGATGTTTTTATTCTTTCATCCAATTTTACATATGCTTTTTTCCTTGTTAATTTCAGGGTCGCCTAATTCTCTGGCTTTCAAATTAAAAGACACTTTTTGTGTTTCTTCTTTTAGTATTTTAACTAATAAGTGCACAATAGGCTGGTTTCTGCCAGTGATTGTGTTTAATTAGAATTCCACCTTTCAACAGAATTATTTGTCTTATGATGCTGTCCATGTACATTCCGTATTTAATGGGCATATTTTGATTTTCCATTCACTACTCAACAAAAGAATCAATGAATGTGGTAAGTTTGTCAATGCTAAAAGCTTTTTCCTATACAATGCTCTAAGTATCATCTACATGTTCTATTGGCAAGTAAGCTAAGGCAGAATCATTCTACAGACATGTCTTATATCTTCGTTCTCTTTATATTCCTTTGTTACACCCATTTCTCCCCATTCATCTTATGTCACAAACATTGATTAAAATGAAAGTTACAACCGAATATAGTCGAACTGGGAATTCTAACATACAGCTATTGATGGCTGCGGCTTCAAAATCAAATTTTATAATGGCCGGCTTCTACTTAGGGTACCAACATTTCACTTCCTGAAACATTGCAACTTACGTTGCTTGTGTCTTATAAGGCAGAAATGCAAAAAGCGCTGGATAAATGTTGGTCTCAGTTGCTGTACTCCTTAAGTTGATGTTCAAATTTCAAAACACTTACTATTTTATATATTGTTTGAAAGAATTGATTAGGGCAATGAAATGTTCATTAAAAAAAATTTTTCAGTTGCAAAGCTGATATTCTAAT